TCCTGTATGTTATAGTGATTTTTTTTAAAAAAATAATAATTTTGTAAATTTTGTAAATGATATTTTATTTTTTATTTATATTAAAAAAAATTGAAAGAAAAAGAAAAAAAAATTTGGGGGAAGAAAGGATAAAGAGTTTAAAAAAAAGGGAAATTTCCGAAAAAAAGGAATCCGAAAAAAAATAAGTACAAAAAAAATTCTGAAAAAAAAGACAATAATCCGATCAAAGGATGAAAAAAATAATAATACTAAAAAAAAAAGATTGAAAAAAAATAATATAAAAAAATTGGTCTTAAAAGACCGAAACAATGCTAATTTTTCGGGTTGAAAAAAAAAACTAAACTGAAAGAAGAAAAGGGAGAAAAAAAAAATCGGACAAAAATTAATAATCAAAAAAAAAATTCCATTAAAGGTAAAATTTTATTAACTGAAATTGGATGGAATGCACACGGTCGGATCAAATAGTTTTTGACCATAAATAGATCAGGCGGAGCTGCGGGATTTCAAGTTACACAATTCAAATTATTTATACGGAGACTAATCTAAACGCCAGACAAATTTTTTAGTTATAGACTAGATAGTCGGATTTTTGATCACATGTGATCAGAATCAAAATTGAGCTTTGTCGATCTTGATTTTGATTGATCGAATTTTTTTTCAAAAATTAATAAATTTTTTCTTGAGTCAGTATTAGTACGTTTAGTAGAAGTTTTTCTGATAATTTGTACTTGGTTAATTTTTCTTTTTTTTAATTTCATTCAAAAGCGAAGCGCGTTTTTAATTTTCTACTTTTCAGTAGTTCGTGAAAAAATCGGTTACTGATCAAGTACACAAGTAGGGCACAAAAGGGGGTTCTGGGGTCAAATTCAAGAAAAGGTTCCCAGATATATTTCCAAAGCCTTCTAGCTATACGAAATCACTATAGAATTTTTAAACTCTTATCCAAATATAGGCTCTTCCCCGCTATCCAAATATTTGGTATCCAATTTGGTATTAAATTACCCCGCCAGATACCAAGAATAAAACAATCATTTATAGCCTTTCTAGCCTGATTTTAAACCCAAATAATATATCAAAAAAAATATGCCATACTGCTTGCCTTTGGGAGTGGCCTAGAATATGGAGGAACGAAGTAACTAAATATTCTAGGCTACGACCCTTACAAGTCTAATATGCATACCAATTTTTTATGATATTCTAGAATTAATTCTAAAGCTGATTCATTGATAAAATCAAAGGGTCACAAAATCTAACCTCTGGGTATCCAAAAATTTTTCGTATGACTTAGTGAAGCTAAGTCATACGAAAAATTGGATAACAGGAAAGTGTTTTAACTATTATTCTACTTTATTCTAGCATATAAGTAATTTCTCGATATGCAGGAAACCATTCTAGACCCATTTTATTAAGAAAAATATAAGGTCCAATAAGTCATACGAAAAAAATTACACCTATAAGTCTCACCTCTAAATCATACGAAAAATTGCTAACTATTCTAAGTACACCGAGCCTTATCCCGAAGTCTGTTCACATATTGGATCACATAGTATCCTTTAACATGCAATGGACACCGCCCAGAAGTTGAGCCAGTTGGCTTGCCACATTCACTGCAAGGGATTCGTGGCTTAGCCTTCCAATGTAAATGACAACCTTCAGGTCGCATGCAGGGGACACCATGGGCCTTGCCAGTATTAAGTAAGTATGGACAGAAATATTCTCCGATCATTTTCACTATATAGGGAAATAATTAATTAAAGAGAAAAATCTGTAAGGGTAATATATAAAAAACTTTATACACAATGAGTACACAAATTCAAATAACCGAAGCCAAGCCTACCTCCCAGCAGGTCGAGCAGGCATTAATAAATGTAGTCAAGGCAGGAATCTATTATAGAAAGCCAAAGGATGGCAAATTCATGCAAAGCTATAAAGAAAGAGTCATGAAATTGCGTCAGGCAGAAGACCCTGATAAATTTATCCTAGAAAATGCAAAAAGATTGTTCCCAACTAAGGATAAGTATCATCAAATCATGGATGACTACAAATCTTGGTATGGAAAAGATCCAAAAATTCTCAATGCTGTTATAGACCTATATAAGTTATATTATAAATTAGCTAAGGATTATTTCAATACAGAAGAACTGGTTAATGAAGAAACTGAAGACTTCTTGTCGTCAATTTGATAAGACCCATTGAGGGGGATACTCAACATCAGGAGGAATGATTTGAAGCTCCTCTCTCACAAAAGACTTTTCCGGGCCATTGCCCTCATCATCTATTAGCCAGTACAAGACCGGCTGATTTTTTTGTATTAAAGATTCGCAGATCTGATAAATCTTAGAAGACCAATTCATATCAGTTGCGCGTCTTCTTCCTCCTTCATATTCACTAGAATCAAGCAGATATATAACAGAATTATCAAAAGATAATCTTTCTTCGTCATACCCCACAGGCCCTTTTCGAGGTTTAGAAGGCTTGGCAAAAACACTTTTCTTTTTTATCGCCTCCGCAGGAGTCATACTAAGCAAGCGGGTTACAGAGTTATTAAGATCTTCTACTATTGAATCAACAACACCTGCTAGGTCTTCTAACTCTATTATATCAGAAGAGGTATCCAATAAGTCATACGCATCAAGAATGCTATAGAATCGTTCTTGAAACGTTCTGTTAGATCTTTCAATAATACCCATAGTTTTCTTAGACTTAGCCTTTTGTATTCTCACGCCATGCTTTCTTAGCAGTTTTTCACATTCACCCTTAAATTCAGACCCCCTATCTGATAAAAATACTTTTGGCCAGATAAGAGGGTTTTCAGGATCATCATAAATTTTTTCTAAGCATTTAGCAATTGTAGACGAAGTTAAAATACCTTGCATATTCTTAATGCTCTTGGCAGGTCCCTTAAGGGTCACACCGATAGGAACAATTGCTTCATATCTTGAAGCCACATCCTTTACATTAAGGTAAAAAAGATAAATCGTTCGTCTAGACTTAACATGGCGTGTATAGAGAACATCTGCCTGATGCATCTCATTGGGTGTAGTAATGGAGCTAAAACTTGCTCGTGGAATATATCTAGGACGGGGTTTATGTAATAGATGTAATAATTGTCTCTCAAGCCAATCCTTAACTTCGTCTAGACTAAAATCATACCCAGCTTTAAGAGAAGCTTCAAGCAATTTTTTAGCATTTCTATGATAGCCGATAGGCTGGTAGTAAATTTTTTGCAAAGTAGTAGATACAAGTTCGTCTCTTCT